CGTTTTCCCTTTAAGATGGTGTTGCAGCGAGCGAAAAAGATGGTAATCTGATGGTACCATATCAGGAGAATATGGTATGTGGGGGAGAAATTCCCAACCCAACTCCATAAACTTATGTTGCGTCAAACGTGCCACATGTGGACGTGCATTGTCGTGGAAAAAAAAGAGCACCTTTCCGATTGACGAGTGAAGGGCGTTTCTGATGAAGGGCTTGATTTAAACGTTCCAGTTTCTGACTATAGATCTCTGCATTGACAGTTCGCTGGGGATTGAAGAGTTCGAAATGAATTACTCATTTGATGTCCCACCAAATGCAAAGCATCACTTTCTGCGGATAGAGTCCAGGTTTTGGGTTTGTAAGTGGTTTTTGTTTATGACTGAGCTATTGTTTTTGGCGTTTAATATTGGCAGAGAGAATCCATTTTTCATCACCGGTGACAATTCTGTCCGAAAATGGTTCACGCGCATTACGTGCCAGAAGAGACGAAGCAACATTAACATGTTGGAAATGGTGATCATCGGAGAGTTCATGAGGCATGCAACACCTTCTTTATGGAGTTTTCCCATATTCCTTAGATGTTTACGTATTGTTTCATGAGAAATATGCAATTTCAGGACCATTTCACGAGTGTGTTGCCTTGTGTTAGAGTCAACAAGCGTCTTCAGAGCATCAATATCAGTTCCAACATGTCGGCCCCTGCCATCATAGTTTTTAAGGTTAAAGTCACTTGAACAAAATTTGCTGAACCATCGTTGACACTTACGAACGTTCAAGACATTTCCATAAACTTCTTTGATATTCTTTGTGGCTATAGAGGCGTTGTTTCCATTCTTGTATTCAAACAGCATTACATGCCGAATGTGTGTCTCGTCGTGTGCCATCACTACAAGGGATTAGAGTATGCTAAACTTTACACATTATATAGGCTATATTAACGTGACGTTAAGGTGGTTCGTACAATTATTATACGTGATATACGTTTTTTGGGGGTGGTTAATGAAAGTGTTCCAAAACGCGACATTAATTTCTTGACAACCTAATACACAAGACTCTCGTCACAAGTAGATCTAAAACCAATTAACAAAATATTTCAGTCACTTAATTATCTTTACAAGTGAAGTGTCGTTCAATCCAAGCTCTTCAGAGTCACCTTTCTAAAGCGATCGCTGTGTCTCCTCGTGTTGTTGGTGTTATCAACAAAAAACACGAATTGATTTTAAAGATTGTATCCCAAAACATTTCGTATATGATACGTGTGTGAAACCGTGAACGTACAAAAATGTCTACTATATACAATTGTATATACAAGAAACAGAAATTACCTTGGTATCACTTAAAAAGTTTGTTTGTTGTTAAATGCAAAGCTACACACAATCGGCTATCTGTGCTGTGCTTACCTCGAGTATCAAAACCCGGTTTTTAGCGGTGTGAGCCCTCAGACTTACGGCTGAGGCACTGTCATTGTAGTCTACCGAATTACCTCGCTCAGCATCCTAACATTTTTTAAATTTAATGTTATTGGGTGAAATAGACAAAAGAATGGTTCATAGCATTTGTGAGTTTGTTTGAAGTTAAGCACAAACTACACAATTGACTATCTGTGCTCTGCCCACCACGGGTATCGAAACCCGGTTTCTAGCGTTGTAAGTCCGCAGACATACCACTGTGCCACTGGTGGGGGGGGGGACGCATTTGTGAGAAATATTGAATATACATCCGACCGTTTAGTTGAAACATTTGGATTTAATATTGAATATTTTCACACCAGATATTCTGTAAAGGGTTTAAGTAAGAGTTTAACAATTGTTACTAAACGAAGATCACATACATTCATATCAGTCCACAACTGGTAAAAACTGACTTCTACTGATCAGAAACTTTTCTATCACAATGATAATATTGACTAAACTGACCAGAAACCTTAGTCAACTTTCACAAATACGGTTAACCTTTTGTCTCTGTCAATTAGAAAATACCAGCAGTTTTCATCAAGAAACTAAAAACTCTGATCTGTGCTCCCCCAGATCTCTTTACCATTCATCAATAACTAAAAACTCTGATCTGTGCTCCCCCAGATCTCTTGACCATTAATCAATAGCTAAAACTTCTGGCCACTACAGTCTAGAAATCCTAATAGATTACTTCCTTATCAAAACATATACAATTTTCCTGCTATAACAAACTTGACCTTTAATGACCAGAATCTTCTATCAGCCTTCATATAACAATCCACTTTTCATTTTTATTGTTTTACAGACTCAAGGTTTACTAATGTGATTGTTTTATTGACTCAATGTGTCAAGAATTTAAATTACGAGCAAGACCTTTTCGAACTTGATGTTCTATAATTAATTAAACCTCTAGTGAGAAAAATTTGCAATTTTTTTCAGGAGACGAAACTAGTAAAAAGTTCTGATTACAGAAAAGAAGTAAAAATAAAACATTAGAGTTTTTAAAACTCTACACTGTAACAATTTAAATTAAACGCTAGTATGTCACAAAAAGATACACAATTTTTATGGAATTTAAAAATTAGACTGTAACAGTAAGTAGTTGGTTGGTTGTTTTACATAATGGCGCAAAGCTACTCAAGAACAATCTATGTTAACTGTTCCTAATTTTGATCTGATAAACTAGGGCTATTCTAAGAGAAGAGTAGGATCTGACCACCATTCTTATAACGCACCAACGGTCCCAAAGTAAGGAAGGCGATTTTGTGGCAAATGGGTCTTGAACTATAGACCCAAGATTTGCAATATGGCACGCTAAGAACTAGACTACGCCCGTGTAGCAATGGAAACAATGCATTTTCACCAATACAAAATAAACATAAAACTATGGCTGTAGGAGTGAAAAGCTTGTAAAAGTTAAATCTTTTAAATGTGACTGCAGAGCTGCCAACTAGATTGTAATAAATAGGTTGAAAAACATAAAATTCTAACAGCCAATTATCAAATTGTATGACCAAGACAGCTTACAATAATGAAATAACATTGTATGCGCTTATATTGTTGTGAAACTGCAACAATGAACTGCCTGCTCTAAGATCTCATCATATAATACACAAATAATCCAAACAACCTGCGCCAACAAAATTGGTCCTAATATCCGCCAATCAGCTCTCTTTGTCAAACAAAAGCCTCGTTACGTAATAATAATAACATGCAAATTTCAATATTTATGAACATAGTCACCTGCAATAATCTTTAATTCACAGCAATCTTTCTTAATCCCCCAATAGATGGCAGGTAAAGCATTAAATTGAATGAACCTGCATTCAAGCAAACTTATTATAGATAAATTTCTTTCCTTTCCCCTTTTTTAAATATTTTGCAAAATTTACGATGGCTTTCTGACATTCTGTGGAAAAACGTTATATTTCCTGTAAATTAAAAAAAACAACTGCATATACTGTCTGTAAAAAAGTCAAAAAGAGTCAGAGACAAAATCATTTAGCAAACCGTTTGATTTCGAGAAGAAAGAATCATATCTTTGTTCTTTAGAATACCAGTATAAAAAAGCGTATGTCAATATAAGTTGAAAAGTATATAAAACGTGTTAAAAATAACAATAACGTAGACTTTCTTCCAAACATTAGTTTCCTCATAAGAGATTTTCATGCTATATTTTGCAAACACAATTTGACGTCTCCTCTTGTACTGGGAACAGTTATTCTACACAAATTTGTTGTCAGATCGTGTTGTTTGGCAAAATGAAGTCGTTCTCCTTGGAAATACAGGGTTAACGCTATTCAGACACTGACTCACAAGGTTATCACTATATCGTGAATAACTTCACTATGAAACTAGAGGGGATCCTCAATAACCGTGGCACCTGGAATTCTTTTAGGCGGGATTAGAGTAAATTAATCTATGAGGCCTTTGTTTCTCGTTTCATTAGCTATATATATTTGTGTACCAGCAATACCAAGCGTGGGACGCGCGTATACCTGATTCGATTTTATTACTCATCAGGATCTCTACAAGCCTACCCCCAAATTGGTATTTTTTTTTAGGGAGGATTAGAATAACTTATTCTATAAGTCCTTGAGTGTGGTCAAATAATCAATCGAAAGGGTTTAACCTCTTAAGTCCGAAACTGTAATTGGATCTCAAATCGGTCAATAGATGACGGAGTTACGAGCTAAAAGTTTGTACTTGAAAAAACAAAGAAACTCGATGGGCCTCTCAACCGCGGCTAAAAATAGATACACTATATAACTGAAGTCATCGGTCATAGAAACAAAATCTTATGTATGACCCTTTTTCTTAACCTGTTTAGTTCAACTGTATCACAGAAAGGTTTTTATAATAAAATCTGATAAGAAAATGCATTAAATTTTGTTGTTTACGTTTTAGATGTAGGATACATTTTTAGTTAATTCAAGCCTACGTCAAGACAATACGCTTTGGCCTTCTGTAACTTTCTTGTAACCATGTTAGAATCTTTTAGAAGTGAAACAGTCTTATTAAGAATACGATATATTGCTAAAATACACACAAACTGATTATTATAAAGAATATTGCATAGACTGTTAACAAACATAAAACGTAATGTGTATAAAAGTATCTACGGAAGTACATCAGATACCTTCTTATGCGGAAGTACATCAGAGACCTTCTTATGCGGAAGTACATCAGAGACCTTCTTATGCTTGTTTGATTAACTCGTTTATTCTTAATTTTAGTACAGAATGACAGGCTCCATGCTATTATAATTCAAAGCTAATATCTTAATACTCAAACACCTTGATTTATGTATATAGATACAGTTAGAGTATAGTAAAGGAAATACATAGATGAAATTATACGGAAGATGTTTTTTCTATGAATAAAATGATTTTATTTGCTGTATTGACATTATCTCATGAAACATATATTTCACGTTTATCTTAAAGATATGTGTAGAATATTAAGTTGTTAAAAACTCCTTTTGCTCGAGAAAAGTCCCTTCTTTCTAGACCCTAAAGTGCTGTAACTCGTTTTCTGATATTCATTTCAAAATAAGCAATCCACAAAATGTTAAGGAGAGAAGCTCTATTACTCTTGTTTCTTCTAGATGTTTTTATCATGAACATTCATCGTTGGGAGTAGGCGTATTCGTTCAAAGTCATTATTTTCACACAACAAAGTAGTCTTCCGAAAGCACCAACTGTGTAACTTCTTGTAAAGTATACTTCGTAAAAAAGGTCCATCTGGTGGAATAAGTAATCATGAAAAAATAACGACATATATAATCGTTGAAATAACTTTCAAAGTTAACTTACAAAGAAGAACTTTACAAAATTTACAATACAATCATATACCAAGTGAAGCGAAAAACAACACATATGATGACGGTCACAATAATGTTTTAAGTTCTCGTTAAATTATAAAAAAATATTGAACAATTTCTACCTTAACCACTCTTTTTAAACACCACAATCTACAGCGTTACATTCTATTAAGGAACACGATCTCTACTACATTGGACTCGGTTTGTAGGCTGTCTAAGTGAAGTATTTAAATTCAAACCCATGATTTAAATAACGAAACAAGAGGTTCTGCCCACGACAACTCAAACGACAGAGGCTGATTGAGTTAGTGATGCACGTGACCGGGTTATAAAATCAACTCTCAGCTGGAAGACGAGTAGTGAAGATATTCTGGCCACGAACGTCCTAACCAACTGATCTTCCCTATAAGTTAGTACTGTGTTTCTGAGCACTTCTCTAGCACCGAATTTTCTTTTTACTTCTTTCGAATATATAACCCCCCGTTTACGCCTAACGTTACTGCTGGAGCTCATATTCTTTTACACTCGATTAAATACCATTGTTATTAAGCTCTTATTAAACACGATGTAACGTGCGTGTAGCACAACAGCACCTCTATTATAGATCATCCACATTCCTACATGTAAATAGATAGACACCTAGATAAACTATATCAAGTAGTTTAAGGGGCAAAGGTTCAGCATTGTCTGGAAATTTACACTTTCATCATCATCATGCAGTTCAAAACATCGATATGTCGTTAGTTGTGTGCCATGGAAAGGCAGTGTGTCCTATTTCGTCTTCAGATTTGAGCATTTTGTTTTTGGTTAATGTTTCAATGTAACTGCTACCTTCTGGTGGCAGGCGGAGTATTTAATGGAAGTATAGACTGTGAGCGATATTCAAATATTGGAAACCAGACAAACCCCAACTGGACAGCCTGGCGAAGGTCAACTACGCCACGTAATACCTTATCTGCAAAATATGCCCATTTGGAATCAACAGTCCACTACCTAAAGGTCAGCATGGACGTCAGGAAAGCCTTTTTGTTTGTTATTGAACACAATGCAAAACAATAAGTTACCTGTGATCTGCCCACTGCGGGTATCGAAATCCGAATTTTAACGTTGTAAGCTGCGAGGCTTACCGCTGTTCCATCAATTATGCGTCTTTACTCTCTTATCCCCCCCCCCCATTTTATAGTATAAACATACTGTATTTGTGTATATAATAACATTTCATTATATAAACATACTGTATTTGTGTATATAATAACATTCCATTACATAAACATACTGTATCTGTGTATATAATAACATTTCATTATATAAACATACTGTATTTGTGTATATAATAACATTTCATTATATAAACATACTGTATTTATGTATATAATAACATTCCATTACATAAACATACTGTATTTGTGTATATAATAACATTCCATTATATAAACATACTGTATCTGTGTATATAATAACATTTCATTATATAAACATACTGTATTTGTGTATATAATAACATTCCATTATATAAACATACTGTATTTGTGTATATAATAACACTTTCATTATATAAACATACTGTATTTGTG